CCTGTTATAATGTTTTTCACATGTTGTATTATTTTTTACTATCATAATAAAAATACTATAAATTTGATTTGAAGATACTATAAATAATTTAATCTGATTCATAATCTCAAGCAAACTAATTATAAGTCTAAATATACGGTACTGTAACGACCAAAAAGAATGACATAATATCATTTATAATTTTTTTAACAATATTTATAGTATTTTTAACACATCAATAATTAGTATTTTATAGGCAAAATTAAGGGCTTTTTTTGGAAATTCGCCCGAGATTATTATTATATGTTTATTAGGTACCTTAGAACTCCATAACTAAGTGCTTTTAAGGCATCAAACGTTCCAAGAGATAACAAGTATATGTGAATGCCGTAACATATCACATGCACTTCCAGTAACTCACACACATTGAGCAAAATGTGTATATAGATAGAAAACCTCCATTGTTGCAGCGAAACGAAAGCAGCCTTTATTATTCCCACTCGTACTCCTTTTATCCTATGGAGCCGAAAGAGAAGAGACCAGCGTTCTTCCAAATCTCTCTTTAGCCTCCTTGTCGAATGGATCATCACCCAGATACAAGTGGAAGTAAGCTCTGCACAGCAACTCACTCTCCACCTTGCTCACCAGCTCATCTTTCACTGCACCAAACAATATCACAGTTATTAATCCATGTGAGATGTTGCAATTCTCCAAGGTTCTCACCCATGGCCTGCAGCACTTGTCCAGGAAGCCGAGTTATCTCGATGACCGATCCAGGAGGCAGTTTAGTGCCATCTTTCGCTGCTGCCATGACCCTGCAATGGATCACAAGAAAGGACGTGCTTAGGTTTAGGTTATACACGCGAGGAAGAAAGATAGGATATGTATTCTACTTCTTGATGAGCTCCTCGTTCTTCTGCCCACCGGTGAGCTTCTTCAGTGATCCAACGAGGCCTTCATCGAAGGACTTCCTCACCATGCTCATGGTGAGGCCTTTGAACACTATCACCAGCCTCACAGCGATGCCCACGTCGCCGTCGATCACTGCCTCGTACAGTTCCTTACAGGGTTTCTCTGCGGCCTCGCCAAGCTTCGCCTTGAGAAGCTCCTTCAACCGAGCATCGATGTGGACGTACATTCCTGCACACAGAAACAGGGTTCGTGTCAGCATGCGCTCGCAGCATCTCGACCACAGCTCCACCGACCGAAGGCGTAGAAGTTGATGCCGAACGCCAGAAGTTTCCTTCTCCTTAACCCGGTGGCACACAGCTGCTTCCCATCAGGTAGCTTCGCAGGAAACGAGACTCCAGTCTTGGGCTCCACTTCCATCTTCTCCTCCTCCTCCTCCTCCTCCTTCCTGCCTACTTCCGCTTGCATTGTGTGACAGCAGGTGGGGTACCGAGCGAGAACTCAAACGCATGCATAAGAAGGCGACGAGGGCATCGGAGCTTAAAGATCGGTGCGTGGCGGTTGAGGGCATTCAACCTGTGGATCAAAACGACAAGGGAAGGGAAGGGCATTCAACCATCGAGGGCGGTGACTCATTCACTCAGATTTTATTGCCTACTAAACTGCCTTGAATTGGACAGCAAACAACACCGTTGACCCGATTTAATGCTCTTTCTTCTCCATCCCTCATCGACCTCCGATGATCTTTCATCATTTGGTGGTCTTTTATATGAGATACAGACTTTAGACAAATTCCACCGTCGGATCGTAATCTCACTCACTCTGTGTGAAGTTTTAGAAGATCAAATCAATCTCATCAGGTTGAGTTGATGATCAAAATTTATCACTTAGATATCAATCACGTATACTTAATTCATATTCGTATATGGATACTGCTATCTTTAATATTGCGTGGACGGCGGTTTCACGGTGTGCAAAGCCGGTGTGCTTACCGCACGCAAAGCGATCAAAGTAGCCCAGTGGTGTTGATCGGTGTCTGATCTCGAAGCCGGTGAGCGGAACACGATACCAAAATAATATTACAGCAGTGGCAACGTTTCTTTAGAATATGTGTTGGTCAGATTACTGATTCCTTTTGGGGAATATTTGGCCAAGCATGAACTTTTATGCAGAAATATTTCTAATAAAATTTTAAATACCTAAAAATAATAATATATTAACTACAATGATATGTTTTGTACATTCAAATTCAGATGCACGTATAAAAATAACCAACTTTAGAGGGATATCTTTTTCAAGTTTTGAAATAATATATTTACCTATCTAATTTTAATATTGCATATATCTCTCTCTCTCTAAACTATATATTCTTTCCAAATATTTAATTCTTTCATACACATGAATTCCATTATCACATATTCAAAATTAACTATTACTAGTTATTGCTATCCTTGATTTTTTTTAGAATTAGTAAGTATTTAAATGCTTGAAATACTCTAAGTTACTTTCACCAATTATCTAATCTTTTACATTTATTAATAATTTCGAGGGACTGTTAATGCTAATTTAAAATTTAATATCATTATTCTAATGATCATTCGAGAAAGATTAATCGATTGACATATTTGTATTTTTTTAGTTTTATAAGGATATTATGTCAAACTTAAATTTAGAGGATAAACAAAAAAAAAGTTATCTTTTTTTCTCATAAATGCCTCCAATTTTAATTTTTTTATTTGATGTTTTTTCCCTCTAATATGCTAAATATCCCTTGTTGTCGTCACCTGCTCTTTCAGGTGGGTATTGTTGGGCATCACATCTATCATGCCCCTATTGTTAGGCTCTCGCTTGTATACTTCCCATTAATTATGAGACATCCGAGACATCAAGATGTGTAGGATCATGAGGTTTTGGAGCCAGAAATTGACAACGATATTAGCGAAGGAGGAGAAGTCGATGTTGGTCCTCCGTCGAAGTAGTCAGTTTTGGAGGATCTACTCATTGTTGTTGCCATCACCACTATGGCCTTTGTTGACTGCACAATCAGAGAGGGAGGTTGAGTTGAAGGCTAATGCATTGACAATAATGGTGTCAACGCACCACTTAGCAATGTTGAGATCATTAACAAGTAGTAATATATCCTTATATGATTTAAGGATATTAATGGATTGCTTGATGTTAGAAGGAATGAATTGGATGAGTAATTGCTCCACCGAGAGGTTCTCCTAGTCACATTTTTTAATTATAGTAGAATTTAGCGATTACTTCGAATGTCTCACAATTGTTGAGAAAAAAATGCAATGCTCACTTGGAAGAGAAAGGTGATGTTGGCAAAAAGACATTTATGATATTAAAAAAAAAATCACTAAATAGGAAAATTTAAAATCGAGGTACCCCTAAAAAAGTTAAAAAAAGAACATTCTTTGTATAATCATCTTATAACAATTTTTATCAAATAAATAAAGAATAAAATTTTTAAAGATACTTATTTTTTAAAAATTCTCATAGAGCACCCTTGTTACGAGAATATAATTTTACCTTTAGCCTCTATCGATCCCTCTGTTGCCTTCGCCTTATATTGCCTCCTCCATCACCTCTCATCCTCTTTGCCCCACTAGTTATAGTCGAACCTGCCAATGCTTATCTCACTCTCACATCTTATCTTTTCTCGTGCAAGGATTATAGAAAATAATACTAGTCAACTAGGTAGTAGATGAAAACGATAAAAGTGAGGCGATAAGTCTGATGAAATTTAGGGATGAAGACGAATGTCATGATAGGTCTGACAGGATAAAGAAGTGGGGAGACGATAGTGGAGACGGTATAGATAATCCATATTATTTGTATAGTAGCTGAGGATATTAAGAGTGAGACGATGAGTCTAATAGATCAAAAACTCACGTACTAGAAAGGCAACGGTGGATCTATCGGTGGTTAAAAGATAAAATTACCATTAAAAAAATTATGTCAAAAGTTTTGAAAGTAAGAGAAAACAGATTAATACGTGATTGAGGATAAATTCATATTTTGGAGTCCGAAAAGGCGGGCTGTAAGTGGAGGCAAAACAAATGTGACCAAAATTTGGAATCTCTCTCTCCCTCCTCCCTTTGTCTCGCTCTTCCTCGCGCTCGTTCCCTTCGATTCCCGGATCGTTCCCACCGCCACCGGCGAATGGGCGACGCCTCCGGGCCCAGCTGCGGCGGCGACGACGAGTGGGAGATCTGCAACGACAACGGCTTCGTCTACAAGCGCCGCCGCCGCCGCCTAATCCGGCCGGGCGAGTCGGCGGAAGGCCCGTCCATCGCCGAGGACCCGGAGGTCGAGCTGAGGCGGCACTGCCGGGCCCGCCGCCGGCGCTGCCTCCTCGACCTTCGGGACAGGTACCGGCAGGAGCTGGAGCAGTGGGATCTCCTGTCGTCGACTCTCCTCGACCTCGCAGCCCCGCCACCGTCCGCCGCCGCTTCGTCTTCGCGACCCGAGCCACCGTCGGTGGAGCTCCCGGATCCTCCGGGTGGATGTATCCATCAGCCCTTGGTCGATGACCTACTCCATCAGGTACTGGATCGGTGTGAAGAGGACAACTTTTGAAGAGTTAGGGTTAGGGTTAAGCTTCCCGGACCAATTAATTTTTCTGGGTCGGCGTGTTTCAGGTGGAGGCTCAAGAGGCGATTCTCAGGAAGTTGTCGGAGATCTGCGACTATGTGGAATCGTTGTGCAGGGAGAAGGAAGAGGGCTTGGTCGAATCTCTAATAGAGTTGCCGATTTGGGGAAGTCCTCGGTCTCTTATGACCTCATTTTCTGATCGATTGCTTGATAACATCTTATAGATCCATCAGGGATGTGTGTATTTTGTACCATCATATGTATCGTTTTTCCTCAGTTTGCTGATTCATGTATATCTATGATTGTGCGATGGTTTGCGAGGAAGGGATATGGTGCTGGTAGTTAGTAGTTCCTTGGTGCCTGTGCTTTCTTTCTCATGTAAACTAATTTAGAACTCTTGACCTCTTTGTCAGAGAATTTCTAATTAGTTAAGAGCGAAAAACAAGTCTCCTACTTTTGTCGAATGAAAAGATTTGCATACCTTTTATGGTTCCAAGGTTATCTTAGCTGCAAGTTTGACATCACAGAAGTAGAACTGAGAATGCCATCTATTTGAACCATTTCATGCAATTTGTTTTCTAGATATTGTACATAGAGAAGCTTTAAACACTTGCTAATGTGACAAATTGTCACTTAGATTTCTGAGAAAAACATGAGGCTAATACCAGTGTCATCATTCATCAAAGAAGAAAAGCACAACTTGAAAGTTAAGAATGGACCTCAGATAACGTGACGGGTTAGTGTGACCAAATTAGACTATAATGATTGGGAAATATAGGATGTACTCTAATGTTTAATATAGTTATTAATCATATTTGTTATGAATTCTATTCTTTCATCTTTGAGTTACAATTGTTATGTTCTCAGCTGTTAATGGCTACTAAAGTATCACACGCATCAGGGCATGTTAAAATGAACATTTTAGCAGAATTCGCAGATGAATGGTTGTCTCTTGTACTATGTCACATAATTGTTGGATGTTTGGCTGAACAACCTACTCGTTTTTCTTGGGCCATTTATTGTTAGTTTGATAGCTTAGGTCTCGTACGATCCTTTTTTCCAGTATATAATGAGAATTCTTTGTCCTTATATGTTGGTCAAAATTCTTTATGGCTATCAGGGATCGGCTCAAAACTTCTGGAGTCAGTTAATTTCTTGAATATTCATTATGATCCTTGGAGAAGTATTTAACATTTAAGAGCTGAGTATTAGTTAAAACATTATCTATTACTGATAGCAAACTAATAAATTCAACTTTCTTTGAGATATAGTCCAACGAACTGCATGTGCAAAGAGCTTGGAAGAGATTTCAGTGTCCTATCACACTTATTCCGGAAGGGATTACATCAGTTCCTGTCAGTGCAACTGTGACATCGGATATACACTGCTCTCTAATTAAGTGGTTGCAGCATTTGATGTTGAGTTAGAGCTAGCTTAAAAACACACTTCTCTTTTCTGATATAACAGGATTTCGGCTGTTTATATTTCAGTCAAAACATTGCTGTTGAATCTTTTGCTGAATTCCATAGTTGCCTAGAGGTATACCTTCAACTTGTTCTGAAGCTCTATTTAATGTTGAAGATGAAAATGAGGATTTTTAATTGACTAATACATTGCTTGGACATTTTAATAGGAAGTATAAATTTTGTGTCAGTTTGATAATCTATGACTCATTGCACTTCACCTTTTGTACTATTTGGTCTTGGCCTGTTGATCATATGATACCGGTGCCGATCTGTTTGCTAAAATATGGAATTTAGAGCAATTGTACATTTAGATTTCCATAGGTGCTGATCAGGCGGAACTTCTAGCTTCTCAGTCCATGATGGCATGTAAATGGACTACATCAACAAGATCTCCATCAAGACAATTAGGAGTTGCTTTTACTGCTAGAACTAATATAAGGTATGTTTTTTCTTTTTTTGTTTCGTCTATCTATTTCTGAACCATGAAATGGAGAATAAAGATCTTACTCTGCTGGAAGATCAACTTATCTTGCTCCTGTAGAATTTACATTTCTTATTATCGTTCTTAAACTGACTGTGAATTGTTGGCTATAGAATCTCTGCATTGTGGCACAGAGGATACATAACTAACCTAATTCATTAGCTTGTGTCCCTGAGTGTGACCTGTGGTATCTGAAAGGCACTTATTATTGCTTTTCTCCATGCTTGCTCTGATTATATTACAGAATTTGCAACTACATCCTAATCCATCTTGCAGGCTGAATGTTTTAATACTTGAGATATCCACATACAACTTATAATTTTGCTTATCCATGCGGACTAGATTTTGCAGCTTTCCTGGTTTTCCTGACAGATCGTAGACAGCAGTCAAATTTCTCCTTTCATCAACCTTATCCGACTAAAAAGAAGATGGAGGTAATGTGATATTTTGATTGGTTTTCACTTTTCATGCACAACCAAGTATTTGAGGAGCTGTTCTTCAATGTGAATTTCTAAATGTCCTAGTTGTCTTATTTTATATGGGCTTCAAAATGACAAACAAGAGAAATAATAATTGTGGTGACAAAATTTGGTTTATTATATACAACAAAATTTGTTATATGTATACATTATCTCTGATGATGTAGCTGCAGCATGATACTCCACAAGAATATAATGCAGCTTTGGTAAGATGGATAGAAATGAAAATTCTGTTGAGAAAATATTTCTCAAGGAAAGATTTGGTTGAATCTGATCCTCTCCATCTTATCATTAAAAACAAGTGCTCTTAACAAAATAAATTAGAGCAACGATGGGGGAGGTGTTGAACAGATAGGCTGTGGATGGTTGATGTTTTGTTGGTGACATGTTACCAAAAATACAACATGCATTGTTAGCTCTAACGTTACCTTGGGCTACTGCTACACACAACATTACAAAAAGGAAACAAATATCTTCACAAATTATACATCTGAAATATGTAAATTATTTTTCTGTTGTAGCTAAAAATGGAGTGGTCAATTAGATGATCCATCCATGTTGTTATGTCTTTCGCGCATACTTCTTTCTACAGTTTGAAAAGTGTACTTATCTGTCACCGCCACAAACATCTATAAAGAAATCCAAGTCAATAAGGTCAAACTATAGTTAGTTAGCACTAGTTTATTTTAGTCAAACATATAAAATATCTAAAATATTAATTAGAGTTGTAATAACAGCTAACTTATAATAGTGTCAAATGACATACATATACGTTTAAATTTTGAAAGATACATATATATAAATTTAAATTAAAATCGCTAAAGACAAAGAACCTGTAACTTTGAGGAATATATATATATATATATATATATATATGTATATGTATATTTGTAATTTTGCCTTAATTTACATATAAGCGCCGCCTTTACGTGAAAGGACAAATAGCCTTCATCATGTGATGCGCCCCTACCCTTCGAATGACCAAAGTACCCTCAAAACCTCTTCCCCAACCGCTTCATTCCATCAGCCGTCTCCGTCATTTCACCCCTTCCACCTCTTTCGTCCCTCACTGTCCGCAACCTTATTCTCTCTTACCGTGCCCCTCAAACCCGCCCCTCTGCCATCGGAGGATCGGTGAAACCCACGACGATGAGGCGATCTTCGCCTCTCCTCCGCCAGATCCTCCGAGGCGCCGCCTCCTCCTCCTCATCGTCGGTGGGCCGGCGCTCCGTTACCTACATGCCTCGGCCCGGCGACGGCGCGCCGAGGCCGGTGACCCTGATCCCTGGAGACGGGATCGGCCCCCTCGTCACCGGCGCCGTGCGGCGGGTGATGGAGGCGATGCACGCGCCGGTGTATTTCGAGACGTACGAGGTCCACGGGGACATGACCACAGTGCCGCCGGAGGTGATCGAGTCGATCCGGCGGAACAAGGTGTGCCTCAAGGGCGGGCTCGCCACCCCGGTGGGTGGGGGAGTCAGTTCTCTCAACATGCAGCTGAGGAAGGAACTGGACCTCTACGCGTCGCTCGTTCATTGCTTTAATCTCCCGGGATTGCCCACGAGGCATGAGAATGTGAATATTGTGGTGATCAGGGAGAACACGGAGGGTGAGTACTCAGGTTTGGAGCACGAGGTTGTGCCTGGTGTGGTCGAGAGTCTTAAGGTGCTTGTCGATCTTTTCCCTAATTAAAATCAGTGTTCATATTTCCATTGGATTTAGTTGGTATATGATCGGATCTGAGTGCAGGTTTTTGGATTTCATCATAGTTATCAGTAGCGATAAGCCAAATCAACTGCAAATGATAGAAGGGACAGAATTCAATTGGTTCTTGATTATTTCGTTAGATCTTTCTCAAAGAGTACTAGATTTGCTGCAAGCAACGCCAACTGTACATGCATGACCTTTGGGACATATATCTACAATAAATCCAGTTCCCACATACATTTTCCAATTGAAAAGAAATTAGTTTACCTAAGCACTTATAATCTCATAACTGCTTTGTGTCTAAGAACTCTGAACAAGACTGCTTAGTGGGGGTGGTTTTAGCATGAGCATTTCCTGGATGGTGTTCTTGTAGTAATATATCATATAATGGCCAATTTCTCCCATGAAGAGATGCCTTTATTTGTGATGCTATATTTTACAATTTTATTATAGGTAATATGAAAGATTTTTTTTGCTTCATTGGTTCTAGTCTTTACATATTTATTACCAAATTTAAGATCTCATGTCCATAGACTATGTTTCAACTGCTATCTCGTCGCTGATTGTGAATTGCTTTCTTCTTGCTCAATGTAGTCCTCCCCATTTGGCATGTCTATTGAGTCTACTTTTTGTTCATGGATTGATGAAGTTTTGAGTCATTATATTAAAGCTTGGAAGATTTCAATGTCTCCTTACGTCCCATTTTTCGCAATTTTCTTTACTAAGAAATATTGATAGACTCCTATAAGTTAAGAATAGATATTTGTATTTAGTTTAAGGAGATGTGGGTGATGGAGAAAAATATATGTTACTTCGATGCCGCGAAAGAAAATTCAGAGGCTGGTTTAAATCCTATTTCCATTTTTTTTTAATACCTCTTGTTATTCTATCAGTTCTGCTTTGCTACTACTATTCCCTGTTCATTTGCCTTTAGATGATAAGCTTGCAGTAGATTGCTTGTCATTCACTGTAATCTAAACTGCCAAAAAATAGATTATTGTTGATGCTCATTTATAACCTCTAAATGCCCAGGTTCTGACAATTCTTCTACCCAAATATTTTCCTCTTAAGCATCTACTGTATTTTTATATTCTTTTACAACTGTTTAAAAAACCATATTTAATACTCCCGAATCTGCCTGTCTCATTGCAATGAAGAAATGGTTGGCCATACCTTATTTTATTGTTGGTTATGTTTCCTACTCGAGTCTTTTGGTGGTATTATAATAAATCTAAACCTCAGAAGTGGAGTTAAAAGATTTTTTAAACTCTTTTTCCTAAATAACAAACTACTTAAAGCCGTAAATTGTTAACTAATGATTTGGCGAGACTTCAGATAATGAGCCTGTAAAAACCCTATCCTGATTGGGTGCATTTGTTTAAACTTGACCGGGCAATTCAATGTTATCTCCCCTGATTTTACCCTCTTCTACGAAGAAAGAAAAAGAAATGAGTCTATAATACTTTCTCACTTTCATTTATTTGAACATTTGTGTTGCATTGAGATTTCAATTCAACTACATTATTTTTTTCCCCCTGTAAATAACTGTATGGTTTCTAGCATTCCTACTTTCTGTTTTACTCTTGGCCGTTAGTTTTGCCTATGCAGTCTTGCATTTACCTAGTCATTATTTAACTCTAGGAGACAAAATCATGATATGTCATATTTAAACACTGAAATGATTTCCTATTGTTAAAGCTATCTGGAATGTCCCCTGCTTGTCTTTTATTCCCTGACTAAATGTCTTTGCTAGGTGATAACAAAGTTCTGTTCAGAGCGCATAGCAAAGTATGCATTTGAGTATGCTTACCTTAACAACAGAAAGACAGTCACAGCAGTACATAAAGCCAACATTATGAAGCTTGCAGATGGTTTGTTCCTTGAATCTTGTCGCGAGGTTGCAACTAAATACCCAGGGATAAAATATAACGAGATTATAGTTGACAATTGCTGCATGCAACTTGTTTCAAAGCCAGAGCAATTTGATGTCATGGTATATGAAACATTCTTCATCATTTTTTCATTATAAATTTTGTGCTCTTTTTCATTTTTTAAAGACGCTGACTTGCTTTCAAATTTTAATATAATATGAATATGCTCAAATATGGTGTGGTAAGACAATGTGAATCAAGTATAATTAATGGTGTAAGGAGCGGTAGAGGGTTACCTAAGAAAATACCACTAAAATTTGTAACAAAGATATTTAAACACTCTTGGTATAACTAGAGATATTTCATTACACAAAGCTCAGTGATAGAAACAGTTGAGGCATTATGGTTTGTTGTTGTATATGATGCAAAACTGATATCTGAACTTTTTAAGTCATAATGGACATTTTGTTATCTAGGCTTTGAAAAGCTTTACTTAGTTTAACTCATTTGACTCAGGACTAGGGTTTGCCATACCACGATGTATGGCTTGGTACGGGTAGTAGGTACGGACCGGTACGTGGACTGTCTTATATGGAGCGGTACACGTTACATGACCCCGTATCGTGTGATACGGGGTCTGTACCGATCAGTAATGATCGAAATTCGATTATCGATCAAGGGCTGAGATTGCCTCATTTCAAACGATCAATTTAACCGTTTGAATCATTTTTAAACCCTTTCCTCCTCTCTCTTTCACCCGTTTTACTCTCTCAATCTCTTCAACTCTTTCAAACTTTTTCTCAATCACATCTCTTTATCATTCTCATATTTTCACTCTTTTAAACTCACCAAAGCTACGACTAGTAGATTGGATCAAATTTGGGAGGATCAAGATAAAGAGCACTCTAATCAAGAGGTATGTTTTCTTGGTCAAAACGTGGTGAAGGGAGTCGAACAACATCGAGTTACACCGCTTGAGGGACTAGAGACACCTAACCGTTACAGTCGTCCACCCAGCATGTAAAGGCAAAGGTGGGAAGGTAGTAGCATCAGTCACATCGTTGGAGAGAATCGAGTCGGGCGACGAGACACCTTCTCACTTGCATTCAACGACTCACTCGGTCCAGAGACGTGGCAGCGACGTTGGCAGTAGTTCCTCAATCGATGATGGCAGCAACGTCGGGGAGTTGATGGTCCTATGTACACAATTTGAGGGTGGTGCATGGACTGAGGAGCAATAATTTACGCATGCCACCTAAGATTTAGATCATGAAGTTCGATGAGGTACTAGTTAAGTTTATATACAGAAGGGGAAGGGAAGACAGTAGATGATTTTGAGTAGATCTGATTGAGCCTACACGACATAGATACAGAGCGAAGCTCATCGTATTCACAGCTGTCGTATTATGGAAAATCTTATAGCCAACAGTAGTATGGTGATAATTGATCATTCTTCTCCAAGTAGTAGTATGGTGATCGATCTTATGATATGGAGCATCAGATCAGTGGGAAAGCACTAAGATATGCCACAATCATCCTTACTTTGGGAGTTGCTTCGAACATTTGTGATTTATGACGGTCAGACTACGACCATCACCACATTGATGCACTAATGACATACGATATCAGTATACTATGTCATGGGATCACTTTTAGGATTGAGTCCGACAAACATATCAAATTGATAAATAGATACATAGGATCGAGGATTCTAATCGATTGTCTGTGAAGTTTTTGGTGGTATAACCAGGTATGTCCATCGATTGATTACTTGATTTATTTGAATATTTAAGTTTAAGTTGTTTAAAAAATAATTTAATAATTCAAATAATTTCTTTGTAGATAATTCAATATTAATGAAAAAATGGTCTGAAATGTATCACAAAACTATTTAAAATTCGAAAAAGATATGTCACTATTCTTTCTTAATTTAGATTACTTTTGCTAAAATTATACTAAATTAATATTTATTTCTAACTTAAAAATCTTAATCTATTTTTTTTAATTTTTCAGGAATATTTGGAGCTATTTTTGATAATTTTATCATATCATCGTTACACCATGTCGTATTTACATATGGTATATTGGTACACTATGGTATATACTGTATCAATGGTTGGTCGGTACGTCGGTATGGATCGGTAAGACGAATTTTCCTCAGGACTTTTGTGTAGTGTCGGTAAATAACAAAGCAAGCAGTTATAGATTTAGACTGAAAATGGCAACAATTATAAATACTTTAAGAACCATCACAGATTTCATCTAGAAGAGAGTCCTTCTGACTAGGAAAACAATCTGGTTGACTTTCTTCATTGCTTTTAGAAGATTACCTTCAATATATTCGAAATTGCTGAATCAGCATGTGAAGATTAGCTTCAACTCTTCACTTGTAGTGCAGAGTGTTGGAGAAATATCTTTGAAGTACAAAAGTTGATATTAATCATGTTAGTATTACCATTAATAGTAAACTTTGTTCTTTTTTCTTCTCAATCATGTTCTCTTAACATAAATTCTGGTTTTGAAATTCTGGGATTGTCCTTGTGATAGGGATCACCAGGTTATAATTAGTAAGAAGATAAATTAAATATATAATATCTAATTAAAAGAACAATTGGTGAGGATCATCAGCTCACAAGAAAAGTTCATGTGTGAGAATTTGAATAAATAATCGTGTTCATTCATGGAGTTATAATTTTGAACTATACCTTATGTCTGTTTTATGTTATACACGAGGAGCTTGCCAATCCAGAAATTAATCTTGCAGGAAACTTTCTGATAACAGCCTAAAAATCGTTAAAGATATGATTGCCGTTTAAAAAAGGAAAACATTTTTTGTCTTCAAATTACATAGTGTTATTTCACTTCTTTTGTTCCAGGAACCTCGTTTGTGCACTGTGAATTGTATTATGTAAATCTTCATTCGTTTGGCCTTTGCAGGTCACACCAAATCTTTACGGCAATTTGGTGGCAAATACAGCTGCTGGAATTGCTGGAGGCACTGGAGTCATGCCAGGAGGTACTTTCAGAAACTTCAGAATGTTCTCAGTTTGTAGCGAATTCGAATTGCTTTCGGTGCATGCTTAAACATACATTCTTGATTCTTTTCATGTTTCTGGCAAGGCAGAAGTGATAAATTAAATATTTTGGTTCCATTTGGATGCTAAAACTATTTCAAGAAGTAGAAACTTGCACACATATCCATCGGTCTTCAGGAGTCAAAATTTACATTAAATGGGTGCAAACATGGTTTTGGATACCAGTGCAGTACCTGCATCAGAATCTCATCAATTTGAGACGTTTCAACGAGTATGGTAGTATGTTTTAGTATTCCAACAGGGAAAAGACTAAGAAGTTAATTAATATGTCGTTTCTGGCCAGTAAATTCAGTTTATTGGTATAGAGATACTGGTCGATACAAAACCTTAGTATTTGAAACCATGGTACAATATTTCTTACTCTTTTTGTTTGATCCTCGACTTTCCTGTTTAACCGACAAATCGGTTAACCTGTTGGTCGCTGGACCACATGACTGTCTATGGGACATGGCACTGCAGAACCAAATGTACTTTGCGACTGCACTACTACTTGGTACACCTTGTTTCATGCTGTAATCATCATCCAGTGAGCATCATGCATGCTCCCCAGGTTCGGTGACTGCAAGGGTCTGTCATACTTGTTCATTTGATGTTCTGAAAAACTCTTTTGCGATTGGTTATTCTTGCCGAAATCCCCCTTGAGGTTTCTATGAATCACTTCCCCAGATCATCTAAATTCTTTTTGTTGTCAGGTAATGTTGGTCAGGATCATGCAGTGTTTGAGCAAGGTGCTTCAGCGGGCAATGTAGGAAATGAGAAGCTAGTGGAACAGAAGAAGGCAAACCCGGTGGCCCTGCTCCTTTCGTCCGCGATGATGCTGAGGCACCTCCAGTTTCCATCATTTGCCGATCGCCTGGTGACTGCCGTCAAGCGTGTGATCGCCGAGGGCAAGTACAAGACCAAAGATCTGGGAGGGAGCGGTACGACCCAAGAGGTTGTCGATGCAGTCATAGCAAACCTGGACTGAGGTCTCACTTTACCCCCGGAATCTCAGTAATCAATTTTCAGTAAATTTCAGCCATGATTCTTCTAAGCTTTCTTCAGATAATTTGATGAGGTTTTGATGTGCAATAATTGTCACCGAGATTTCGCATATGGATTACGATCTTTGATAGTTTTCATCGGTTGGAAAATAAGCAAGCAGGGTGTAACCCATATAGAGTCTTATTTATTTTAAGCTAATATACTCAAAAGAAATTAAGATCTTTTGTTGGTCTATGTGGATAATGCGTGTTGATTGATGAATGACATGCTTTTTTATTAGCATTCATAATAAGAATCGTCAATCCAGAATGAATGTTATGGTGAATAAAATAGCATATCACTCGTAGAGAATCTTGATTATAATCTTATTTAAAAATAGTATAGTCGATGTGGGAATTATTATTATTATTTGTATCTTAGTGTTCCAAAATTAATAATAATAATATTTATTTAAAAAATGGAAATTATTTTAAAAAATGATATTTTATTTTCCTGAATTAAAAAAAATGAATTAGAAAAACCTTCTTCGTCCACCCATGGCCATAAGATAGAATAAAGAAAGTAATAAGCAATGATGGATCGGAATGCGACAGGGAAGGAGGTCGTGGGGGGGGCGCGGGAGGGAAGGGGTGATGGATTCGTGGAGCGGTGCCATTCGATCCGTTGCAGGCGACGACAAAATATGCAGAGGAGGATGTTCTATGTATCTGAAACGGTTGGGTGCTTGTGTCGGAACTCTCAGGAGGGGGGGGGGTGGGGGGGGGGGAGAAGGGAAGGGGTGACGGACGCGTGGAGCGGTGCATTACATATGGCGACAAACGATACAGAGGGGGATGTTCTCTCTCTCTCTCTCTCGTCTGCCCCCGCCATACAGAGGAAAGAAGGAGAACCTAATGCCTTTTGTCTCCCTCAGCTCGCCATCGACCCATAGAAAAGCCCGCTTTAACATAGCTATCATACCATGCCTCTCTAGCATTGCTATTGGTCCACTTTAGCATTGCAAGTGTTGATGGTAGGTATTGGGCAATGTTCTTCCCCCCTCGTAGTTACATGGAGATGCCAGATTCAGAAAGCCTAGTAAGGCAAAGGAAGAAAGAGCAGGGAGCAACCTGAAGACATTTTGGCTAAATATCCTGAATGTTGGCTAGCTTGCTTGCTGCTGCTGTCTGTCAAAAGAGAGCCTACATTGTTGAAGGAACTCTCTGCTGTGCTTCTGTCACTTTGCCCTCTCTCTCTCTCTCTCTCTCTCTCTCTCTCTCATCACTAAACATCCTGAATGTCCGACATGCAAGAAGATTCGAAGTCAATTCGAGTCCGGCATCTCAGTCTATCATAAGCCTTGGGGTCAGGACTGGAGTTGACGAAGACTCCCCATACTAGAATCATTAAGCCACACTTGAGATCTTCCATGCGGTGGGCTTTGTAGCGATGAGTGAGAGTAAATGACCATTATGGGTACCCAAGCTGACATCGAGTTGATGCTGCACATAATAATGCTCGATCGCATGCATGTCAGGCTAATAGTGTATCCAATCTGGCATGACTCGATGTTGGATCATCCACATGTTAAGACCCCTCTTATATCAGTAGTACTAAAGTTCACTTAATTTATTTGCAGGTGAGGCGATCCACCGGGTTGGGCCGGATCGTGATTTATGACCCACGTAAATTTGGAGTTCATCCACGAAATCGGATCCATGGAACGAAAAGATCCGAATCCATGATTTCGTTCCCGCTATTCTCAAAGACCGGAATCACTGGGACTTGATAGGCTGCGGCTGTGTCGCTGGCTACGTTCAAGCACCAGTTCGGTGCGCAAGATTCGTCTTCCTCTATATTAGCAAACTCCATCAATGAGTTCATATTGTTCAAGCTTGTTTCTTCCTTGATGATATCCAAGGAAGTCATCCTTTGCTTCTCCCTCGTCCTCTCTCTTGCTCTCGCCCTTGCCTTGGCCCTCGACTCCCTCGCAAGCGCTGAGTGGTACTCCACCTTCCTCGACGGCTTAACACCTCCTTTTCTGGCTTTGCTCTTCTTTACTTCCCTGGCTGCAGCGGTCACGGTGGAGGACTTGTTCTTGGAGCTAGAAATAGCGGACGAATCCTGGCATACCAAAGCGGATGATTCACTTTTCGGGCTTCGGTTGCTGCAACCGCTATGTTCGGCTGAGGAAAGGGTGCCGAGCTCTTCGATGGCAGCTTTGGACACGGTGAGCAGCCATTGCACTGTCTTGCTGGCCTTGTCGAAGTCGAACGTGTCCTGTAGTCGGAAAAAGCTCCGTGCCACATCGATGGAGAGCCTCATCCTTCGATCCCTCGGCCCATTTGCGGTAACTATCTTGCTGTGCCTGCATTTCCTCAGAGCCCTTTTACGGCTACCAACTGTCGTCGCCTTCCTGCCTCTCCACCGATGTGGCTGAATCACCAAGAGGAAGGCTTGGCCGAGTAGATGTTGGAGCCACATTCGCGATGCCGATGTTGGAGGAGGCTAAGAAGAGATCACGAAAGCCATCGGGACAAAAGATTGTCGGAGTGGAGGAGGGGAAGCAGGAGTTGTTGGGAAGAAGAAGATGAGGGGGTTGAACTCAAGTTGCTCGTTCAAAGACTGGTCAAATATGTACTCGGGGTCTCGGATCGGAAGCATTTTTCTGGTCTGCTAGGACGGGGAAGAAGAGATATTTGTTGAGAGGTAGAGGAAATCTATGAACTGCACCAAACCTTCTACCTTACGTGGTAGAATGGTGGGGGGGTGGGTAGTACAACAGTATGAGCCTTTGCTCGATGGAGCTCAGGAACTGGACGCGGAACGTTTCACCTCGAATAGATTCTCTGCCAGAGCTTAAGAGCTATCTATGTACAAGTAGGAGGAGCTAACAGAAAGGAATGGATAAGAGGAGGATGGAATCGAGCGGGAGATGGGAATATGGGGGAAGGAAGGAGAACCGGAGATGAGATGGGAGACGACGAGAAGAGTGTAGGGTGCTTGAGAAAGAAGGAAGTGCTTGGTTGGCAGTTATCAGGAATGAGAAGGTGTCCTTTCACTCACTATTCATCAAAGAAGAGAACATGAGAGTGAGTGGATAAAGTGAGAGCAGCTAGCAACCAACATGTTGGATGAGTTGAAAGATGGGAGGAAACAGACTTTTTAGCACATCATCCTCTATCAAAGGCGCGATCGCTGAAACAAGTGTTGGATTAGATGGATTGGGGTTTAGGAGTTGGATAACGAAAAACCAACCATGTGTCGTCCGAGCGTAGAGGATGACAAAAGATGAAGAGGAGGATGTTCTACGTATCTGAAACGATTGGGTGCTTTTATCAGAGCTCTCAAGAGGAGGGGGTGGGGGGGAGGAGGGAAGGCGTGGACGCGTTGAGTGGTGCATTGCAGGCGACGACAAGCGATACTGAAGAGGATGTTCGATACAAAGGGGGATGTTCTCTCTCTCTCTCTCTTACGTCTGCCCCAACCCCCAGAGATCTTTTTCAATAAATTTTATTAGCATTCATAATAAGAATCGTCAATCGAGAATGAATGTTATGGTGAATAAAATAGCATATTAGAGAATCTTGATTATAATCTTATTAAAAAATATGAGAATTATTTTTTTGATGTATTATTATTTCAAAACTAATAATAATTATTATTATTTAAAATTTAGATAAGAATAATAAGTTAGTCTGAATTTGATTTTGAGTCGATCATAATATTTTTATATATGCTTAAGATGTTTTTTTTGGATGCATAAGAAAAACATTGCACATGACATAACAGTTGATTTGTTGGACTAATTCATAAGATATCGTGGTCCAATGCAAAGGATAAAAGATTTTTTTTTCTTACAATACATATAATCCTTGAGAAGGTACGAAAAGAAAAATGAAGAACACATCTCTTAGAAAATGAAATATCACGTCTCTTACAAATGCATATAATCGTACGAAAAGAAAATTGATGATCACATCTCTTACGATGCACATAATCGAGGAAAGAAAAATGAAGGCACGAGAAAAAAAGGAAAAAGAAGAAGAGAATTAATCAGAAAAATCCGAAATATTTAGGAATTTCTCTCTCTCTATATATAATAATAATAGAGGTACAAAAAGCTTATCAAAATCCGTTTGGTTGGCGGTGTGCGGGTCAGTATGAATCGGACCGGGCGAACCGGCCCGGCCCATTCCTTACATCGATGCGCGCGACTCACGCAGTAACCTTTAACTGTAGTCTCTGCGACCAAAAACCCTATCTCAGTCAGGTACGGAGGGAGGGAAGATGACGTCTGCAGCAGGTGGAACGCCACCCCAAAACCCTACCCTTGCTGCAGGAGAGTCGGAGCGGCGCCGTTCCCCCATCCGGAAGAAGACGGCGACGAGAACGAGGGATGCTAGTGGCAAAGAGGATGTGGTGATGGAGGAGGAGAAGGAGGGCGCCTTCCTCCTGGGTGAGCCTACCTTCTTGGACCTGGGTGGCGGGCGATTGCGGTGCGTGGAGACGGGGCATGAGCTGCTCGCCAAGGACGAGGAGGCCTACGGCCGCACCAAGGCCTGCCGCCTCGCGCTCATCGACGCCGCCGTTGCTCAGAAGAAGCCTCCCCTCAACATGTTCCAACCCCACCCCACCTCCAAGTGAGCAGCAGTAAAGATATGATTCGTATGTGGAAAGAGAGGTTGTTTTACTGTTTGATCGCAGGTCGCAGCTGGTGTGCAAGCTGACTGGTGATTCGGTGAATAAATCTGAGGAACATATCTGGAAGCACATCAATGGAAGGAAATTCCACAATAAATTAGGTACTTTTTTTTGTTTACAGAATTAATATTTTTGCTGCTTATCCACCATTCTTTTTAGTCAAAATATGCTTCTTTCCTTAAGGCATCGTGCCATATTTGTAACTATGAAAATTCTGACTTCTTTTCATTCGCTATATGCAATGCATGCCATCTCCACATGTTACTTTGGTTCTTGCTGTCGTGAGTGATTCTATATGACACTGAATCATAATCAAGAATTCCATTTAAAATATTAGGGAATGATCATCATCAGTGTAATCTTTGAAGTTGATATTGGCCAAAATGATGTGCCTTCTGCTATGTCCTTGTTGCAGAACAAAAGGAAATGGAGAAGCATTCCTCTGCAGAAGCAGTGGAGAAAGACACAAAACAGTCAAAGAAGCAAGTGAAGTCAACTCTGGGTTCTCGC